GTCTCACTAAGACGAAGATTGACGAGTTGTAGATAATTTAACATTCAATTTTAATTCCATCTTGGGATTATTGTTTACGTTTCGTTTTCCATGCAATTTCCAACGGTGGAAGAATGTGATTTCGACTGGCAAGTTTTATTTGACGAGAATGTGGCCATTTCTCATCGTTACGATTTAAAAAGAGTATCATTGAAAAGCTAACTAACTGTTCTTTCGTCCTATGTAAAAATTGAATTGTTTAGCCACGTTTATGATGTACGACAGCCTGTTGAATTTCCATAGCATATTTTGGGGGACACCCTCTATACTGGGTGTCCCCCAAAAAACTTGAGCTGTTTGATTTCATGTAAGGTAAACACTATAAAAGCGTCAAATATGCTTTCGCGAGGAAGAATTGGAAATTGCCATAAGTTTAAATGGCAGTTTGGTAGCGGTTTTCTGATTTCTCGTCATGTCCGCGTACTATATTAAAGCACAATTTTAAGTTTGCCATGCACGAAGTATGATATTATTCAATATATATATATATATATATATATATATATATATATATATATATATATATATATATATATATATATATATATATATATATATATATATATAGGTTTGTGTATACGAAACGCAAAGAGTGCTCAATATCATAAAGATAGAGCAAATGTAGAATTTCGCTTACCTCAAAATTCCGCAACAGACTGTTTCATCAGTAAAGAATCATCAATCAGTATATATTTCATGTATACGTTTCGGGCCTCATGTATTTGGACCTCATGTAACGTAAAAAATACGTAATACAGGAATGCTTCATTTACTGTATAAATTTACTGTTAGTATATGTTGAGGCTTCTTGCTGGGATGCCGCAACAAATTTCATTAGCGAAAGCAATTATTGTGAATGCATATGTACAATAACCTGTCCTTACCACTGATTTAATGGTCCTTACTTATTTAAACTTTCTAAAAGTAGTCTATATATATATATTTATATTAATTGCTTTACCGTGAAAGCTTTCTTAGAAAAATACTTTATTCTCCTTGGTATAGTTAAGTTTATTCTGAAAAGGATAATTTCTCCAGTCAGGATTTCTTGACTTTACTAGTCTTAATCAGCTTCTCCTACGAGCATATTCTCTCTGCTCTATTTTCTTTGAGAGAAAACTTCTTTCAGGCAATTGTTGTTGTTGGGAACAACAGAGATTTGGCCTCACAAATCCAAGGCCGTTTATTGTCCTGCAAGACTATATATTCTACATTTCGACGAGAACAATATTTCTCCCCAAGCTTACATCGAATATCAGCTCTAATTTAGATCAGCTCCCTGTTCAAGAAAAAGAAAGCATTTTTAGTTTATTTCTCTCTAATTAAACAGTAGCTATATCAGCAACAGGGGAGGATCTAGCCTCATCTGCAAAGAGGGGTGCAGGTTTTAAATGGGGTGGTACATGAGGGAGCCTTGCTGCCCACTCTCCTCTGCAGTCTGCAACGCTACTATCCCAACATTTCCATTATTTGAGATGGCTGAATCTGCATGTCGATTCCCACCGTGGCCAAGCAAACTGTTCAGCTTGCCCGGTGTGGATGCACACTCAGAGTAACATCACAAACCTCGACATGTTTACAGATTTAACTGACCAAGATATTTAACTAAAGCATTCTGACTATTTTCTCGTGAGCTCACAGATCAATTAAATCGTTTCAGTAGAGTATAGCTAGAAATCGACACAGTAGTTCCGCTAATTAATCGCTATTCGAAAAGCAGAAAATGTATGGTCAAGCAGTTTTTTAGGGTGGTGCTGGACTTCTCTAGGGGGTCTAGTCAAGGGTGGGTTTGTAGTTCGCTATAACTACAGTTACTTCAAAAATATGTAATCAGCTACAACTACTGCTACTTTTGAACATTGAACATTTATTAAAATACTTAACAAATTAGCAGGCTTAAATCATTAGTAAGGAGCAACATGGCATGCAAATTAGTGCTGGTTATCGGTCATTGTCCGACCAGATTTTACCTTTTGTCTGATCAAAGCTTTTTATGACCGGACATTTGACCGACCGATTTAAATTAGGCTGGTTTAATGTCCAATATAATTTTGTTTTTTACACATTTTTGTTGACGAAATCAAAGATTAATAAGCAACACTTTCCCTGATCATCTTTTGCTACAGTAAGATTTAATTACCAACAGCAATATGAATCTAAATTGCCTTCGTAGGCTATATCATGATGGAAGGATAATCTGAACCATAATTTACAGATGCATTAGGACTGGTAGATATTATACTCGGTTGTACATCCATGATTGTAATGTGGACTAACATGACTAGCCGAAATACATCGTTCTCAGAAGGATATGAAACATTTCACTTTGGCCATTGTCCGATCAGAAAAGCTGATAAATGACGTCCGCCCATATTTTGTCTAATGGCCGGACAGTTTACAAGTCCTTCCAAGCAAAATAATTACTTGTAGTTCTGGGCAACCCACCAACAATATCTGTCACAGTGTTTCAATGGGGTGCTGAAATGCAGATGGGGCATCCAAACACAAAATTATAAACTTACCGCTTCGATTTTTGAATCTAACATGGCAAAAAATTCCACTTGGGACTGCGTCCTTGTGCTGCAAAATTTGAACAGTATTAGTGATAAAGAACAAATATTACGAATCAATCCTATGATTGGAAGTGGTGGAGGAGGGGGGGAGGGGGTAAGGCCACACCATATGGTGGTGGGAGTGGGGGTATGGTCCCCAAGCCCCACCCCCGCCCCTAGTTCCGCAGTTCCTGCACATGCATTCGTTAAATGAACTGACATGGCTTACCTTGGCCTGTTTTTAAGTATAACTGGACTTATATGATTCTACAAAAAACAACATATATAACATCAGTCGGAATGCTTGTCTATGACAGTAAGCTAAAAGCTACACTATTATTTATACTGGATAGATCAATCAGTTTGAAATTGTTCACCCTAGGGGTGACCTAGTGCTGTGTAAACTCCGATTTTTCATCTCCGGCTCCGGCCGAATTATAGCTCTGAGCTCTGGCCGCGTCATAAAATATTAAATAAATGTTTTACGATCAGAGAACATTTATTAATATTATTATGAATAACCCTTTTCGCGCTTCCTAATTATCAGATAACATAACATAACTCAGATAACATAACTGAGGAAACAAAACAGTGAAAACACTTAACCACGCAGAAAATATCAATATGGAAACCAGCCTCGAAAAATCTTTGACAGTGTTGCAATTTTTATATAGCATGA